GTCAATGTTTAATGATTAGAAATTATTATTTCAAGACATGTAAAGCATTTTTGCTCATTTATGTGGGCCGTCCCAAGCATGGTTGGAATGTGTTCATTGTCAAACTCCAAAATCAGATTTTTTTTTATTCGTAAAAACCGCCATTATTTTATTTGGGGAAAAAAAATAAAAATTATATATACAGTGGGTACGGAAAGTATTCAGACCCCCTTAAATTTTTTTTATAATGCAGCCATTTGCTAAAATCATTTAAGTTAATTTTTTTTCCTCATTAATGTACACACAGCACCCCATATTGACAGAAAAACACAGAATTGTTGACATTTTTGCAGATTTATTAAAAAAGAAAAACTGAAATATCACATGGTCCTAAGTATTCAGACCCTTTGCTGTGACACTCATATATTTAACTCAGGTGCTGTCCATTTCTTCTGATCATCCTTGAGATGGTTCTACACCTTCATTTGAGTCCAGCTGTGTTTGAATTTAAGGGGGTCTGAATACTTTCCGTACCCACTGTGTGTGTATTTATATATATAAAAATTAACAAAATATTTTAGTTTGTCTTGTATTTTTTTTTATTCGATCAGATAAGATTTTAAGCTGTCATATGGTCAAGTTACAACGTGCCCCTCAGATGTTACAATGTGTTCCACCTACGGGGCATGTTGTCACATTTCACTTCCATTTTTTGAGGGTAAATAAAGAAAAACGTATACACTGTAATTATGAAACAAAGCGACATATTTGTACTAGACAAGTGTAAAATTACTGTGGATAAAAAAATATATATTTTCTGAACCCCATGTGAATTTACACAAACTGAGAAAGTCAAAAAGTGTTACTTTGTGCCCTGCTCTCTGCTACCTCTGTAAATAAATACAATATAAATTCACGTCTTGCACACTTTAATGCCCTTTAAATGTAACATGTACATTCCCTTGGAACTGGAATCATGGCGGAATATCATGTGAAGTCCACTTCGCAGGGCACTTACGATCGAATAAGCCAACGCTTGAATGCTGCTGCCTGAACAAGAAACCCTGAAGGGAAAGTGTTGACTGGTGTCACCATCTCGCGAACGCGCCGGCGGATCTTCACCAAATTCGGGGGATCCCTTCAGCTCGAGGAGCCCTCTCGAACGCCACCCTCCGCGAGTCGGTAGCCCCCCGGGATCGCTAGATCGGTCGGCGCCGTGCCGCGAATTTAACCACCCGTAACTCCCAAACCCCGGGGGCTATCGTCGCGGGGGTGGTCTCATTCGAAAGAGGGCCTCGAGACGTACACTCGATTCGTGTTCGAGAGGGTTCCTCGAGCAGAAGGGATCCCCCGAATTTGGTGCTGATTCGCCGCGCCGTTACAGAGATATGGCTGTTCAAAGTTTCAATGGTTTTCCAGTTGGGAGATGGGAGAAAGTTGTAGAAAGTCAACCATCACTGCAGCCCTCCACCAGTCGGGGCTTTATGGCAGAGTGGCCCGACGGAAGCCTCTCCTCAGTGCAAGACACATGAAAGCCCGCATGGAGTTTGCTAAAAAACACCTGAAGGACTCCAAGATGGTGAGACCAAGATATAACTTTTTGGCCTTAATTCTAAGCGGTATGTGTGGAGAAAACCAGGCACTGCTCATCACCTGTCCAATACAGTCCCAACAGTGAAGCATGGTGGTGGCAGCATCATGCTGTGGGGGTGTTTTTCAGCTGCAGGGACAGGACGACTGGTTGCAATCGAGGGAAAGATGAATGCGGCCAAGTACAGGGATATCCTGGACGAAAACCTTCTCCTGAGTGCTCAGGACCTCAGACTGGGCTGAAGGTTTACCTTCCAACAAGACAATTACCCTAAGCACACAGCTAAAATAACGACGGAGTGGCTTCACAACAACTCTGTGACTGTTCTTGAATGGCCCAGCCAGGGCCCTGACTTAAACCCAATTGAGCATCTCTGGGGGGTCCTAAAAATGGCTGTCCACCAACGTTTACCATCCAACCTGACCGAACTGGAGAGGATCTGCAAGGAGGAATGGCAGAGGATCCCCAAATCCAGGTGTGAAAAACTTGTTGCATCTTTCCCAAAAAGACTCATGGCTGTATTAGATCAAAAGGGTGCTTCTACTAAATACTGAGCAAAGGGTCTGAATACTTAGAACCATGTGATATTTCAGTTTTTCTTTTTTAATAAATCTGCAAAAATGTCAACAATTCTGTGTTTTTCTGTCAATATGGGGTGCTGTGTGTACATTAATGAGGAAAAAAATTTAACTTGATGATTAAAATGATTTTAGCAAATGGCTGCAATATAACAAAGAGTGAAAAATTTAAGGGGGTCTGAATACTTTCCGTACCCACTGTGTGTGTATTTATATATATAAAAATTAACAAAATATTTTAGTTTGTCTTGTATTTTTTTTTATTCGATCAGATAAGATTTTAAGCTGTCATATGGTCAAGTTACAACGTGCCCCTCAGATGTTACAATGTGTTCCACCTACGGGGCATGTTGTCACATTTCACTTCCATTTTTTGAGGGTAAATAAAGAAAAACGTATACACTGTAATTATGAAACAAAGCGACATATTTGTACTAGACAAGTGTAAAATTACTGTGGATAAAAAAATATATATTTTCTGAACCCCATGTGAATTTACACAAACTGAGAAAGTCAAAAAGTGTTACTTTGTGCCCTGCTCTCTGCTACCTCTGTAAATAAATACAATATAAATTCACGTCTTGCACACTTTAATGCCCTTTAAATGTAACATGTACATTCCCTTGGAACTGGAATCATGGCGGAATATCATGTGAAGTCCACTTCGCAGGGCACTTACGGTCGAATAAGACAACGCTTGCCTGATGCCTGATCAAGAGACCTCCTTACTGAAGTGAAAGTGTTGACTGGTGTCACCATCTCGCGAACGCGCCGGCGGATCTTCACCAAATTCGGGGGATCCCTTCAGCTCGAGGAGCCCTCTCGA